TTTTTCTTTTTTTTAAAAACTTTCAGCCAAGAGTGATTTGTCTTCTGAGTCCACAGCTGAACACAAACACCACTATGTCTTTTTTCTTGGGTGAGAGCAGTACTGGTCCCCAGTAGCAGCATCTGGAATTCTGTACAGTGCTCTAGAGTGCCTGTTTTGCCTGTTGAGTCCCAAGTTTGATCTTAAGTCCTTAGAAGTTTTTGCTTGACTGGCTAAGGGGCGAGGTGTTACAGCAAGGCTTTTCTTTCCTTGGCAAAATACTATAAGGCCTAATCTTATAAACAAACAAACAAACAAACAAACAAACAAAAACAAATAAAAATGACTGAGATGACTAAGGCCCGAATCCTGTAAGGTGCTGTATGCTCTTAATGTCTCTTTTTTTCATGGGGAAGCAAGACCTCTTGTGTTCCCTCACAACTGCAGACAAATATTCCATACTGGAATGATTTATCTTCAATTAATATGTGCCATGAGGGATAGAAAAAAATAGTTGGTTTTGTTGGAGGCAGCCAGAATTGGTTATGGGCAGTAGATTGTGGCCTCATGCCAAAATAAAGAGGAGAGAGATCCTTGGAGAGCAATTGGTGTGAAAGAACCTGGGTTCTATTCCTCCTGTTGCCACTGACTTCCTGGGCACATCACATATTCTCTCTGTGCTTCAATTGCCTTGTCTGTACAAGATGGTAATAATAATACTACTTACTGTATCTCACAGGTAGGTTGTGAGAATTAATCCAACAATATAAAGTGCTTTAAGAACTCCTGATGTGGGTTGATATAAGGGCATAGTTTCTTTCTTTATACACAGCATATCACATGCTCCCTGCCAGCCCTGGCAGATATAAATTTATAGAAAAATAATACATATAATACATTATTTTTCCATAGGAAAGGCAAGTGGAGGAGCTATTGTTGCTTCAGAGCCATGCACATGCTCACAGCTCTGTTAGCAAAAAGGGGAACTAAAATATTACTCTGGGCACTGAGGCTTCATAAGAAGCTCTGTTGCCTTTTCATTGTTGGCCAGGAAGATTTACATTAAGGAGGAAGACTTTTCTCCAAAACCCTGCAGTTTTGTTAACATAATGTTTTACTATGTCCCTGGGAATTAGATTAGAATTGCTAACATGTGTGACTCTGCTCAATACCTTTTGGTGGCTTGTTAAATGCTTGGTAGCTAAGCTAGAACAGTATCAAGTACTTTGTCTTCTTAGATCAAGTGACTAATACAGCAGTTAATCTCCTCAGAGACAGACAGTGAACCCAGAGTTCCCCTTGAGCAGTCACTGTTAATGTCAATGTAAATCTCTTTATTTATTCTTCTTCTTATTATTTTAGTGAACACAAATCCCTAGTTCTGCCTTGTGTATTAGAAGCAGGATCACAGCTGCCTTTCACCAGCTCTTCAGAGCGTGCTCAGGGGACAGCAAGGTCTTGTGAGCAGAACAGGAAACTGGGGTTCTGAATCCCCAGGCTTTGCCTTCAACTCAGCCAACAACTGTGTGACCCTGAAAAGTCACCTTCCTCATTTATAAAATGCTGTTAATGGTGATGCTGACCTGCCACTCTGGACTTATGAAGCATTTTTGAGGAAGGTGTCAGAGTACTTTAAGATCTCTTATTAGAAAGAAATAAGTAAAAGTATTATTATTGTCCATTCTTTAAAGATGAATAAAATAGAGTTGGGGCATGATGTGACTGCATTGCTATTTCACATAATTCCTTCAAGCAAATATTAGTTCCTGAAAATCAATCCATGACTCTCTAAAATACCTAGGAATTCAGTTTTGCAAGAGGAGGGATACATCCTCTTTTGCATACTTTTGAATTGTTTTGGCCTGCATAGATCAGAACAGGGCTGGGACATAAAGTGTCCATTCACTGCACTCCCTTATTGTTATTTAATATGGCTGCATAGCAGAGTTTCTGCCACAAGGGAAATACTTTCCTCAGATGTAAATTCTCAGGTACAGCTTCCCCATTACTCCAGATGGGATTAAAAATGAACCCCAAAGTCCTGTTAAATCGAATTTGATATTGTTGATAAGAGATATGACATATCTAGTTCCCCTTAGCTTTATATCATTGCCAACAGCTAGCTGGGCAGTGGAAGCCAAACCTGTGAGGATAACAGTGACCTCTTTATGGTGGGGCATTCAGGAATGGAGACGTAATCTTGAAGACAGAAGGCAAGAAGGTTAATATTGTCAACCTTCTCTCCCTTGTTCTAAAATGTATGATGCATGCAATTACCCTCCTTCCTACAGTATAGGGTTGTTTGAAATCTTGTACTCCCAGGTGGCACAGGTGAGCTACAGGAAAATACTGGTCTTCCATGCACAATATGCCTTTCCCCAGTGGCACAGATTCACTTGCTTTAAAGAAATCTGCTGATCAAGGGACTGGACAGACAGCTCCAGGATCTTGGGTCATCATCTCACCAGTCTTCGGCCAAGGGAGTTTTTGTTTGTTTAGGATAATTCTGGAGACCTAATGGCAGTGTTGTTCTAAGAAACAAGGAGAGGGATGGTGGTGGGTGGGAGGAGGGATCTCTGCTGGGGTCTGTCCTGAGCGGGGCAGGCAATGTGTGTACATCAGTGAGGAAGGTACTTGGTGGTATGGGATGCACCCTGATGGGCTTTTGAAAAGTAAGTATTGAACCATTTTAATTTTGATCCACTTTTCTATGAGTGGTATGGAAACGTGGGGATGGGGGCCAGGGAGTGGGGAGGAGAGGCAGCTCCCTTCCTCGTTAACAGTCTAGCCGGCATGGTTTCCCATAGAGTCCTGGTCATATTGTCCTCTCTCACTCTGTGTGTGTCGGGCGCCCCACGCCTTTTTTTTAAAAACTAACACTAGACCATTCATGCAATGTGTCATTTTTACTAACCAACTAATGTACTAACACCCTAACGACTCATCTTTGCTTTTAGTTATTTTAATTAACAATCGTTCTGTTCACGATTTTTTAATTTCCTTTCTTCCCCCTTTTCCGCAAAGCACTCAGGCATTGGACACGCTATGGTAAACAAACTACATTGTCTGGTAGATATCATTCTTATTGTCTCTTTTTTTGGGTTTGCCGTGTGTTACCTGCCTTTTCCTCCCCTTGCCCCCTTTTTCCCCTTTCCCTTTATACTTACTTCCTCTTTTAATTTTGTTTTGATTTAATCTTAAGCACATTTTTTTCTTTTTACTTTTTAAAGATTTTTTTCTATAAGAAAAAAGAAAACAACAAAAACAAACAGAACCGTTCTGCAAATGGGGTTTGGTGATTTCTTTCCTTGGTTTCTTCACTTCCCTCTTTTGTTCTTTGGTTCAGTTTCTCACCCCAATAATTTTTTCTTTCTTTTGCTTTTTGGTTTATCTTTCTTCTCTCTTTTTGTTTTGCTTTTGACTCTCAGAAGGTTTTTAGATCAACACCATCGCAGGGCCTCTAGTTTGCTGTGGTGAAGGCTCTTTTTCTCTCATCCTTTTGTTGTGGCAGCAGCTGTTCTAGGCAAACTGGCCAGAGTTTTCCTCTTTCTCCCCACTTCCCTACCACTTCCCTGCCTCTCTCACACTTACTGTTTCTCTGACCTTCCACCTGCCGTGGCCGAAAGGAGCTCAGCCGGTTGTTTGTTTCAGTACACACTCTGCATGGCATGTCCACGTCTGGTGATCCACCCCTCTCCTACTGGCCTCAATCTTTTTTCCTCCATCTCCCTGTCAAATCACTAACAACATTTAAACAAAACACATCAGTTTCACTTGCTTCTCTCCCTCCCTCCCTTACCCTTCCCCATTCACCCTCCATGTGTTTTGGGGGTTTTGGGATTTTGTGGATTTTCTTTTTTTTCTTTTTTTTCTTTTCTTCTTTTTCTTTTCTGATTAGTTTGTTTTCCATTTGGCTTTTCATTTTTGATGATTGCATGCAAGTGTGAAGTAGATTCCTCTCTCTCTCTCTCTCTCTCTCTCTCTCTCTCTTGCTTTTTCTCTTTCTCTCTCTTACTCTTTCTGGGCTCCAGATTATACTGGCATGGGCGTGTCAAAGTGCGGTGTATGCACGCTTTGCATTTTCTCTCTTTCTCTCCTTTGCTTCTCTCACACTTGTTGGTGTGTGGTTGATTTGATTCAATTTGTTTTGTTAATTTCTTTATTCTTTTTATTTGGGTTGTGATTCAGCTCTTTTAAAGTTGATTTGTTCCTTTATTTATTTACTTTTTTGGTGGTGGTGGGTGGTGGGTGTGTCTCTCTGTAGGTACATGGCATGCACATCCATAATGTATTGAAAGTGAGATCCCTCTCCCCTACCCTTCCTGAATGCATGATCGTTAGTGTGCCGTGAGCAAAAAAAAATAAAAATCAAAACCATAACCAAAAATATCAACTTCGTCTTCATTAGTGCTTTTACTAACGACCGTAACTAACAATAATCATTAAAATAAATGCTAATCAATCATAAAAATCAGCTAAGACAAGCAGTCTTTTCCAAGGACAGTTCCATTTTCTAGCCTGATAACATGGAGAGCATCTAGACGGGTAGAATGCCTGCTTGGCTTGAGAGTGCTAAGGTAATAATGCAGGGATAATAGAAGCTAGGTGGTTTCTATTATGGGCAAAGCAGACCAGAAAATGGAACGTCGCTGCACAAAAAATAACAAAATAATCAAAAAACAAACCTCATTAATAAAAGTGACATAAAACATAGGGGAGGTGACTTGCCTTGTTCAGGACTGTAAGGTCATTGCTGGGATTTTTTTTTTTTGGTTTGTTGTGTCCCTTGAACAGGTGACAATCTCTGTAGATGGAATCCTCACCACAACAGGTTACACACAAGAGGACTACACCATGCTCGGCTCAGATGACTTCTTCTATGTAGGAGGGAGCCCCAGTACAGCAGATTTACCTGGCTCTCCAGTCAGCAACAACTTCATGGGCTGCCTCAAAGAGGTAAAGTTTTCATGCTAATGATATTTTACTGTTTGCTAACTGCTTTTTGTGAGGATTGGGGGCTGGGAGTTGGTTTCCCCAAATTTTCTGTGGTGCCTGCTCCTTGTTGTATCCTGAATGTCTTTAGCTGGAGCTGAATCATACAGTGACACTGCAACTACTGTGTGATAACAGGGTGATAATCATCCGCCAGAAATAAGGCTTCGGCAGTGGAGGCTAGGACCTTAGGTTCTGTAATTAGGCCTGTCTTGCTTGAGTTACAGAAAAATTTCAAATAACAGTAAGGCAGTTGCCTTTGCAAGGCTGTCAGCCACTAAATGGTATACATGAGTAAATATTAGGATTGTATCTGAAGGAGACAAGGCAAACCGTTTTCTGCTGCTAACCAGCATTTTCTGTGGTAAAGTGGAAAAAAGCATAGTCAGTCAAAATGTGGTGTCCTTGCTAAGTTACTTAACACAGGAATAGGAACAGTACTAGCTAAAATACTGAAGTGATTGTCCCTAAAAGTACAACGTATGATGTTAAAGTTACAGCCCAAATATGATTAGCGTTACCGATGGCACTGTAGTGATCAACATTAAGCATTTGCCAGTGTTCTTCTATGAAGTTGGTATCTAAGTATGTTGTTTCTTTATTTAGGAATCACAGTTATTGCATCATCCTGTAGTAACCGTTGCCATATGTTGACTTTTTACTGATACCTAATACCAGGGCCTTCTGGCTGAGGGTTTCTTGACCCCCTGTGTCATTGCACACACCATTGTTTTGGAAGTTTTCTGTTGAAGAACATTGTAAATTTTGAAATAATTGCTCTAGACAGCTTTTTAGTCAATTTAGAATAGGGGTTGCTTTCAACCACAGTCCCCATACCACTGCAATTCCAAGAGATGTGGTTGAGTCTCTGGTTTATGAAGTATATCTGGTTTGGTTTGTAGCCATAGATTAGGTGCCAGTAAGCCCTCCCTCTTTTTATCAGGATATATGGAAAGGGAAGGTAGAAGAAGTGTTTCTTGCAGAAGCAATGAAATGAATAGTTTTAAGCCAAGTGCTTTTTTAAACCTATAATTGCATGACAATTGTGTCATCTCACAAATGGGTATCATACATTTGGAGACAGGATGTTCCCAACAGGTTGGATGTTGTATCAAATCTGCCAGGTGTGTCACTTGAATGATATCCCTCAGAGTGCTTGAACTGCTGTTTTCCCTAACCTCCAGGGTCAGATGAAGGGGATGCATACATGTTTCTGGAAATTAGCATCTGCTTTGGATGAACTCTTATGTAATAAATAAAACTTTCCTGCTGCTTGAGAATGTGATTTCTCTTGACAAGGGACTACATCTTTATGTCTTTCTGTAGTGTAGGGCCTCATAGGCACTGAGTATAAAGATACCAGTTGAAGTCGATAAAAGAGGGCATGTTCTTAGTATCTCTGAAAATCCAGTGTCTTAACCTATTTTGAAAGTACTGGTAATAAAAGGAGAGGCTATTTTTACCTCTAAGTCAAATCACGGGAATAGAGAAAACAACAGCAACTGTATTTAATCAGTTGTATTTTGGTAATACACACGAGATGCTGCGAACTATTTATGCATATGCAGTCTGTCCTGGTCCTGTAAAACTTAGTCTAATATGACAAGCAATCTAAGAAGGTTAGACAAGAGACATTCAAATACTTGTTTGCAACCCGTTTTCATCGGCAGTGATAGAAATTGTGTGGCGAGCAACCATACTTGCCTGTCATTGGGTGTTGACCTGATATCAGCTGATTATTGTCAGATTGGCCGTAGTGACAGCCATGCAGTTATCTCTCATAAAGATGTGCATGCAATATACAGGGTCTTCATAAAGTCCTTGTGCACTTTTAA